GATGTGGCAAAGTGTAGTGGACAGAGCGGTACCAATGTTGGCGTCGGGTCCACTTGGATCGCACTTCATTTCGGCAAGGGCCACTGTCGGCGAACGCTGGTATCAAACTATGATATGTTCTGAGACATATGTCTTCATTCAAGCATTATGTGTTATAGTATTGCAATAGCAATAAATTGGCGTAGGTGTCGATTAGTTACAGTAATGCAGATCCCATTAAAGTCTACATGTGATGTCAAATTAAAAGTTTTTCCAGGTAGTAACTGGGAAATTTACGAATAAAAAATCAATAAAGGAAGTCTCACTGATTAATTTTGAGAAATGATCCCATCGTTCTCTCCTTATTGATCTTAATATGAGTCATTATAGAAAGAACTTAAGAACGAAATCAATAATCATTTTATAGTATCAATAAACAGTACAATAGCACACAACCAATAGACTAAAACGAAAGCAGTGTGAGTAACAATAATTTAGCAACAGTGCAATAAATGAACGTATAAAATATAATAAACGATGCAACGGTGAATAATGATATGCAAGAAACCAATAGTTGGAATACATCAATGAGATATTTTGAGCTCAAATGCTACGAAATTATAGGGCAGAATCGTTTTCATGTAAAGATGTTCACCATATCCGCTGTAGAAGTTGAGAGGCAAACATAAAAAAGTAGCCAGAGCATAAGTACTGTTGGTTTATCAAACAGTCGTTTGTCTGTGAAGATGTTTCCCCCATATTTACCGCAGTCAATATGTGAAAATAAGGGCGAAAGACGTTAGAATGTTGTAGATTAGCGATCTTCCTGTGGAGTTGCCACATGTCTCATGAAAGCCCTTCAAAATAAGAGATGGAAGGGCTTTACTTGCTCAACGTTGCTTGAATGTTCCCTTCCTTACGCTTGCAATCGCGTGAGTTATAGTCCTACGTATTAGAGAATGATGAAACGTTTTGAATTACTCTATACCTCTATACTGATCTCTGGTTTTCTTTGCTTTTTGTAACCAGTCAGTAACCTAATTACCGCAGGCTGAATGGACGGTACTTGAGAACTTCGCAACAATAAGTTTTGGGAACATGTCACCCTAGACGAGCTGATTTCGTGGCCATTGGTCATTATAAAACGAGAGACAGCCTTTTTTCTATTTCTCTTAGTTGATTTTATCACTCAATTTTTGAATCTCTTCCCTTCACTGACTTACTCAACGAACACCCAAATCGCAATGACGACCATTTGTGGACAGTTAACTCTGATCGATTAGGCTCTAAATAAGACAAAGACGCTAGAACACTACAGGAAAAGATTTGTCTTCTATCTAGTCATCGGTGAGTCAAGCGGCCTTTCCAGTTCTCCTTGTCTCACATAGTAGTATGCCAGTGAGTTCTTCTCACTGAACAAAACTCTTGAAGCATCATACTTTTCTTTTTAAGGTATTTCTCGCATAGCGATCAAGTTTTGAAGTAAGGACAGCGGGGTTCCGTAATCAAAGCATCATGAATTCCATCATTACATACAATGTACCCGAATTTGTCCAAGAATGTATTGTGCAAGTTAAGCAAGATACTTTACATTCTATTTGATGACATATAGTTAATGATAACTTTGATCTCAAGGTGTTATATATGACATGTGCTACTGCAACCTAGTGTCTAAGAATTTACGATTTTCAATCTTCTTCTTTATTACCATTTCAATTCAATATTTCAAATTATTAATCTCAACTTAATTAACTCATTCGTTGAAATTAAGCTGTAGGCACATTAATGGCGAGATGAGCCTTATATGATCTTGCCCCACCAAGAAGTAATGTTAATTTGGACCTGAAAATTGATGTTCTAGCCACAGTAAACTTCGTTAACCCACCGCATACTGCCTGAGACACGCCACCGGTTCCGCGCCCTATGCGGCGAGCGATTTGCACTGCCGAGTGGTTGGTGATGCATGCCATCGGAAAAAGGCTTCTAGTTTAATCTCCTTCTACGATGTGTTCCAGTAGGTCTTTGATATCATCTTTTGCACCCCACTTGTGTTTCCAGGTCAATAAATATATATCATATCTTAACGCTTCATATATCATATCGTAACACCGCAACAAAGGAGACTGAATAGAGTAGTAATCATCGATTATTCACAAGCTGCAGCTCGTAATAATAAAGTTGACATTCAATATACAAATTACATATATATATATATATTCATATTAACACCAGTGATGTAGTCCAAATAAAAAAGATACGACAAAATTCAGCACAAGCACGGAGATCACTTGGAATATCCACTTCTTGAATACGTACGAACAGCAATTATATAGTATACCTAAGGCGACAGAACGCTACTGAACGCTTATAAATGTATTGCCCCTTGTACAAGACCTTAAATATACGCCTTGAAGATTACAATACCATGCATTTTTTCTATTTATTTATTTCTTTGACCCGTCATCGCAGCGTTTCTTTCCCCTGTGCAGATCTTAGTAGTTCTAATATTCAAATCGTTTATCGTCTTCTTGAGCAGCGTATATATAATACTAGCTGAGGGAGTCTTCTTGCGATTTTGAGGATAGCCCAGCGTTCTAAAAAGCGTTGCTGCTGACATCTGAAGAGAGTTGGGAGTGGAAGGGCAAGCGGGAGTGGACCTTGGCTCTACGCGCGTCGCGACGAGCATCACGACCATTCGATAAACACTGTGGCGATAAGGTGATTTCTAAAGCGAAAATTTACTATATAAGGCAGCGACTCTGCGATGAAGTTATTAGTACATGTTCCAAGTCTATTTCAAGTTCAGAAGATACTTCTTTGTCTCATAACCGCTTTTTCTCGTTAAGCGAGTAAACCGTGCAATAGAATGAGATAAGTTTCACAATGCACCGCTGACGCTTTTCAACTGCTTCGCATGAAAAGCACATTCTTGTAAACTTAAAATATGTTTTGAGCTTTCCAAAAGTCTGAATATTATATATATCATAAAGAAGACAATAGTTTCCAAAATCGACTATCTATTAACCTCGGCATGCTACAAGAAGTCCTATTTTTCTTCTTTGAGCTCAAAGCAAGTACATTAATCTATATTCAACAGAGGACACTTCGGCAGCAGTTCGCGTTCTTCGAAACCTGGAAAGGTCAGGTTCTCTGCAGTGCAAAAAGTCAAGCGCCTCCATTACTCCTTCAGGAAAAATCACCAGATCTAGATTTAAATCGCATCATGTGCAAATTCAACTCTCAACATGCTCACCGCTTTTTTATGTGCTCCACTAATGATTCAGGTGGAGATCACCAGAAGGAGATCACATAGGCTCGCAATGCACCCCATCCATCAAAATAACGTAAAACCACAAAGTTAACAATGAGTGGGTCCTTACGGCGAAGCGGCAGGTTCGAAACCATCTATCATTTCTTAATCAATAATCAATTCATCAACATGCCCTCTCTTATACTTACTTGTGAAAACACATAAGTTGGTATCCACTGATAATTTAACGTCTAGCGATCCATCTACAATCAGAGTTAGACCCATCACCAGCTATCTAGGCGGACCGGAGGATGGGATGGCATGGTTTTTCACTTTAATAACATCCCAGTTGCTAAGACACATTCCAGCCCATCTAGCAAACCTTCAGATGTTGGACCGTCTACGTAAGCCAATCCGAACAAGGCGTACGCAATTTGGTCATTCGACGTCACTGCTCTCTATACCTAAGTGTCGAATGACTCTGCATTGCAAGCCACATACGAGCTTCTGATACAACATCAGGGGCTGTAAACATGTATGGCTTGTCGACTTAGCAGATCATGGTGCGCCTGAACTGCCCATTCTTCAGATGGTCCGGAAGTACCTTGCTCAAATGAGAGAGTCGGCAATGGGAGCAGCGACTGGCTTCTGGCCTGGATATTGCCTTTATGTCGAAAGTGAAAGCACCACTGATGGATCTTTGGCTATTACTCTACTGCACGTATATAGATGATTGGTTGGTTATCTGTTCCACTCAAAAAGAAATGCATATTTGCGCTAGATCGGTGAATGAACAGTCAGAGTATATAAGAGTCACCCGTGAGATACCGAAAGATAATTGGCTTGCTTTCTTGAACGTGCAAATAAACTCAACCGAAAACGGCTACATAACAAAGTGATACCGAAAGCTAAGTAATAGGAGTGCCCTAATTCACTATCCGTCCTCTCGTCCCTCACATATAAAAAAGGCGTTAGTAAAAAACATGTATCGAACAGCAGCCAAAAGTGTGTGCAGGGAAGGAGCAGAGAGTAGAATTTGTAAAGCTGACGCGGGATATAGCCACTTTCAATCTATTTGAATTTGTAATTCCCGGGTTTAGGTTTAGAGGTAACATTACTCCTTTCAACGAAAATTTGAATGAAGGTAGAATTCCGTTTAACCTCCCGTTATTTTCAGATGAGATAAGCACAGTTATAAAGCGTCGTTGGAAAATAATAGGAAGAGAGCAAGGGGTAGCTATCATTGAATTACCACCGAATATTCTAAGGCGCCAACTAGCTCGTAACCGCTTCTATGACCGTCTCTGTTAACTCTTATTTTTTATTCCTTCTCAAGCGGGACGCGAGGTGTTAAATCCAAATTTTATTTGCGCAATAAAAACGCTGAAAGCCAAAGCCGAAATGTTAGCTGTTTCGATAGTGTGAATAAACTTTGGCTTTGATACCTCGTGCTTCGTTTGAGAAGAAAGAAAAAATAAGAGTTACTAAAGCACGCAGAGGTTAATAAACAGTCGGTCTTGAAATTCGTCTTGTATAATAAAAGATGGCAAAATATGTTGTAACGGCAAAGACGGTGATTGCATGAGCGTCGGTAAAGTTTATCTAATCTGATAAAGTGTACTGCGATAAATATGTTGGCAAAACGGGTAGGCCACTCTATGCTCGCATAGGAGAACGCCTAGTTGACAAGCGTCATGATAGATGAAACACCCCGCTTGGGGCACATAGAGCACAGAAACATGACGGAGTATTGCGTGGTGAGCAGAAACATGGCCTCAGGCGGGAATCGAACAACAATGACTCGCGTTTCATCCTATCCTGGGACGCGTGCTCTACCACTACACCACCGAGCGCATTTGCGCCACCACTCATTCATCAACAGCTCTATGTTAGCTATCAACACCTACCTTTAACACGTTAGCAACGACAAGGCCCGTTTTCGGCCCTTGTCACACACCACGTGTGCGGCGGAGTGACGGGGCGGAGTCTGCACTATCAGCTTTGCGATGGAAACATGGTAGTTTGTTTGACAAACTAAGGTATTGGGGGGATATTATCGTGATGAAATGATGAAATATAACAGGGGATACTTCCATAAAAACTTTTTTATTCTAAGGAAATAACCATGTATCAAAAAATCATCCAAGTTTTGAACGGGAAAGCAATATTGTGAAGAAACTTATTTCTGTCCTTGATTCGCAGACCCATAACGTCATTTTGATTCTACATGGCTTTCCACTCGCTCTTGCGCAGTTTTCCTTCCACGACCTCCTCAGGCAAACCTCTTCTGCTCTTTCTGCATGTTCCAATAAAGTGTGTATTGCTTTGCTGCAGACTCTCAGCTATGGCGACGCTGGAGTACCAGTTATCGGCTAGGAGGTGCCCTCTTTCATTCAGAAGATCCTTAATTAGATCCTTTACCACAAAATCTGCAAGTTGCTTGTTCGGTGTTAGGTTGGACCTATGTACACTATCGTTTTGTAGGTGTACCCGCCTTCACCACGAAGTTTAAGTCGCTTCAATCCATATCTGTTTCTTCTGCAAGGTGCCTACAGGCGGAGTTTAATTCGTCCTCTGAATGGCACCATCGACTCATCGATACACACGTCTCCTCATCGTTTTAATGGGCCCGTACAACTCTTATTCGCAAGTTTCAGCATTGATCTTATTTTGTATAACTTGTCATTCACATCGTGACCCATATTGTTGCTTACATACAAGTGGTTCATAATCTCGAAGAATCGATCCCTCGACATAAGATGCGACGCTATGGAAGACTCCCAAAAGATGCGGGTCATTGCTCCAACAATCGTAGAGCCTTGGCAATTCGTATAATGGTCATTTTGAGACACAAGCTCAAGAATATCTTCATTTCTCCAATCATTGTGTCTTTCCATCCAAAAGGAACGGGGCGGCCCATGTCTCTCATGTGTTGATGAACTTTGTAACCATCTGCATGATCTTGTTGAGGTGAGTTGCGGAAATGGGAAATGGAGGAGGCACAAAAAATTGTCTCGAGAGAAATCAACTGAAAACAAATACTTAGGGTACAGGAATTAGTTCTCTTAGTGTCATGAGTCGCCACTTGTTCTCAAGCACAAAAGAAGTTTTAGTTCATTCATTCATTTCCTTTTCATTCATTTGAAATTCATTTGTGGTTTTATATGAAGATGAGTTGCTGCTGATGTAATTAATACAGGATGATATGACCAAAATATGAATAAATATATATAGGACGACATGACTATGTTCAGTAACAGTTCAAAAGATCGTCTTACACTACATATCTGCCTTTTTCCTCAAGATTCAAAGCTTTAAGAGGAAACATTGTTATTGTTTCCACCACAAGAAGTTTCATGGATGTCTCTTTTTTTATATTTGATCATTTACTGCAGACGAAACTCATTTTAGTAACGATAAATATCCATATCTCGTTGGAAAACTACCACAACGTCATTGCTAAAGCTGCGTATGTGGCCGCGCGGCGTCGCGACAAGCAGAATTTCAACGTCGTTGCTAACGTGTTAACAGGTTTGGTCGAGTATGCGATTTTGCTTTATAAACCCAGTCAAACTGATAGCTATTGTGATAATTACGACTCGAAATTCTTAGTATTTTACTGCATTTATCGCACTGTTATGATTATTTATAAGATAATGCAGCAAAATACTAAAAATTTTGAATATTACTTATCACAATGGCTTTCAGCACAACTGGGTTTATATAGCAAAATCGCACACGTTTATATGCTAAGGATGTCAATGGAGCTTTTGGCAACGCACGATTTAACCGAGTTGATGTCTGTAAATGGAAAAATTACAAGGAAATAAACAGGTCAAACGAAGAACAGGATATAGATGGGACAGCAGAAAACCGCTTTGAGTGTTGGCATATTATAAACAACTCATCTACTCATTCGCAACGCGCAGCACTGATTTCTTATAATCGCTTACATGAAATCATAACTGGTTCTATTCTGTTATAAGAGTGTAAATAAATATTCGACCTCATTCGCCGATCAGAAAATTTTCTTAGGAGTGCTAGTAATCAATAGAAAGCTTAAAGTTCTGACCACAGCCCTGCATGGCCGGTTTTCAAAAGACTCTTTTATTTTTCCGCATAGCCCAAGATATAACTATGTCTAGGACGCGCATATTTCTAGTCGGACAGAGCTCTTTTTTGACCATTACTGATCATTCGATAGCGTAATGTATGATGAATTCGACTTCAATACAACGTAGAAGGAAGAATAACATTGATTCACATGCGCGAGCAAGGTGGTCTCTAGCCAAATCACCGGGCACTGGTTGAGGCAACAGTGGGAGTTTGCGCAGTTATCGATCGATTTTCGACCACTCTTATGTTGGTACGACCTTTGTTATTCAATCAGAAATTGCTTCTCCATTTTGGGAGAGAAACAAAATTTAACGTATAACTGTGCTACAAGATGCCTTTAATTACTTTTATTTTGTCATGAATACGGATATATCAATCATTAATACGATCACCCTGATGGAATTCAAGAGGCGAAAACGTTTCTATTGCTACCAACAGTGATTCGAAGACATACAGGTACTACGAGACTTTGAATACTCGCTCATGTGGTCGAAAATCGATCGATCACCGCTTCAGCAGTCCTTTTTACCTAACGCAGCGGCCCGTGAGTTCACCAAAGACCACGTTGCTCGCGCATATGAATCGAATTCATTTTCCCTGTTGCGTTGCACAGAAAAGGTCGTTTTAGGATATAAGCACAGTGTTGAAATTAGCGAACATTACACTGTCGAATGATTTCTAATGGTCCAAAGAAAAGCTCTGTCCTGCCGGAAATATACGCTTCTAAAACACAAGAAATTTCCTTCTGAAAAAGCCAGAAAAAGCTTTTTCAAAAACCGCCCACGTGGGTCTGTAGCCAGGAATCTAAACCTTCGCATGATCTCTAGCGCTCTTATGAAAATCCTGTTTATTGGATGAGTTCGCAAATCAGTTGACCCTTTATAACCGAAAATAACCGTATAATTATATGTTAATGGACGGTTCGTTGTATTCATTCTGTAATTTTTTTTAAGCAGCTCAGTTTTTTTTTGTATAGATTGGAAAAGGAGGTATTGAAAGGATACTAAAAATGTAAATACAAATAAACGCTGAAAAACGACTTACATCTACGCGCGACCTACATTCTGCGCTGCCATGGGTAGTAATATAGCTGCTTTAACCTATCGATTTGGCAGCTCGCGCACTTGATGTCTGAGATTTCAAATTGGAAATCTATTCACTAGGGCATCACAATCCTGCCATTTCTCCGCCATTGTCATACATTGTCTGCACCCCTCCTAAGATCCTAAAAAGGATTAAAGCTTACGACTTTGATAGTCCTAGAGGATTGTGTCAACCACTCGACTTCAGTAAGCATCGTTGGAGGTTACTGATTTCATAAGCTGCCTTTACAAAGTTGCATCGTAGCCTACTAATGTACAAAGCCAGTGTTGCTACCATGACAAGTCTGGTGCCAGTTCGGTGAATTCCGGAGAAATGTAAAGCTTGATAAGCTCTAGAGGAGGAATTGAGCCACAAACATGTGTGTGGCAGAGCACCCTCAAATGAAAAGATTCTGTCTAATCATACATATATCCAATTTCCGTCAGCGTCACTGGGTCCAGCACCGATATCGATTTCTAGCGTAAACCGTTGGCGGTTGGTGCGATAGATTGATACAATGTAGCTTACATTCAGTGCTCAATTTTGCTTGGCTGGGTCTGTGCATGCTTCTTCATAAAAAATTTGGTATGCTCATTGGCATGAATCCTGTTTTTTTTTCTGAAACCTGGTCTGAGTTTCAGGAAAGTTTTCCATACAGCGCTGCAAGACTGAAAAGATGACGTTTTGCCCTCGAAAAATCGGTAGCTCGTAAGAGTTGGATATGGACCAAAGCATATAAGCGTGCAGAGAAAATTATGAAGTACCAAAGTAGTGCCAGGAAAACTGGAATTGTTTTCAAACGGAAAAGAAGAAAATCAAGTCAAGAAAGTCGCACTGTACGACCGATCAACTGCTCCATGGCAAGTGCTTGAGGCGTAGTTGACGCCCTATGGCTCATCGTCTCATCCTATGCCGTTACGAGTCCTTCTTTAGCCGTGCTAACTGTCCTCTTGTTTGACGTCTCCTGGAATGTGTGACTAATCATGAATTGTCGTTGTCGTTTCGACAATCTGTCAACTTGGAGGATTGGCTAAACGATTGGTAAGTGCTCTGGTGTGCACTAAAGCAGACGAAAGTTTTTGAAATAGTTACTTAGATAATTTATTTCACAACTCTGATTTTTCTTAGATGCTACCATTTGTTCTCAAAATAATTCCAGATTTGTCTCTCATACAAAAACGCTTGGAGAATCTTGATTATCATCTCCTGAAGAACTTCAGGGTTAACTGAAGTTCAAGCCGAAATTGATACCCGCATCATGAAAGAAAAGTAAGTTCTCTTCAGTTGGTTATTTAATTCAATCGTTAGGAAATGTAGCATATTTGGCTCTTCAAGCTTAGAACAATTTTTGTTTCTGCACTCATCAATGGAGTACCCATCCCACACAGAGAAATTGGGATTGAGTTGATCAAATCGAGTTAATTGTTGATTTGAGTTTGAATAGACGAGTGCACTATTTGACCGCTTTGGAACCGTTGACCCACGGCCACTCTTTCTCTAACTGGTACTGGACTGCCTGCTCTACATCTTTTGGATCTCTGACCCTCAGCCTGCTGCGTCTAACAGTGGCAGGCTGCTGCGTCCAACAATGCTGGCTGCTGCGTTTGACAATGGCACGCTGGAGTTAAGAGATGCGGAGGATGTGGAGCGACCGT